TCCTGTTACCTGCTTGCAGTCCTTTCTGAGTCCCACATCCTGTTACCTGCTTGCAGTCCTTTCTGAGTCCCACATCCTGTTACCTGCTTGCAGTCCTTTCTGAGTCCCACATCCTGTTACCTGCTTGCAGTCCTTTCTGAGTCCCACGTCCTGCTTGTAGCCCTGTTGCTGTTACCTGTATTAAAGGAGAACTATGAGGGGGGGTGCTTTTCACTCACCTCATAGTTCTAGCCGACCTGTGACAATGAGACTGTCACAGGTCGGCTCAGTAGATCGGGAGGTGAGTGAAGACATACCGGCATAAACTCACTTCAGTCCTGCTTGTAGCCCTGTTGCTGTTACCTGTATTAAAGGAGAACTATGAGGGGGGGTGCTTTTCACTCACCTCATAGTTCTAGCCGACCTGTGACAATGAGACTGTCACAGGTCGGCTCAGTAGATCGGGAGGTGAGTGAACACATACCGGCATAAACTCACTTCTCGATCCTGTCACGGTTCTCTGCCGCGACAGGGGAGGGGCTGGATTCCCCGCTCCGATCCGCCAACGCTGACTGGCGGAACGGACGGGGGAGGGGTCGGGTACAGCTGGCTCTGCCTCTAGATAGGCAGAGCCAGCTGTCAGTCACGCAGCTGGGCGGATCCCGGCACAATTGTCAGGATCCGCTTCAGCTGCGGCGTCTCAGTATACCGCGAGCTATACTGCGGCGTCTCAGTATACCGCAAGCCATAGCTCGAGGTATACTGAGCCTAGGGTGACGGGAGGACGCTAGTTTGTGTCCTCCCATTACCCTAAGGAGAACTATGGGGAAAAGCCCTGACCTCATAGTTCTCCTTTAAGCTATTTGCTCCTGTTATGTGTTGTAGGTGTTGGTGGTTATATTTAGTGGGTGTCATGTTACTTATTCATGTTTGCTTTTGGGTGTTTTATTTGGTTGTGCTGTTTACAATAAACTGTATATAACGCATTTGCCTTGTCCAGTGTGGTCATACTGATTTGGTCCTCTTGCGTGGGTACCTCCTTGCGGTGTGGGGACACCTGCGCACGGTACCCTGACACACTCTCATTAGACTTTGTACACGTGTACCCTCAAATCTGGGTTCCCTTTTCAAAGGGGTGTCCCCGTCCCTGTGTGGATGGCGGCCAGCACCTCGTTTGGGTCTATGGTGATCCGAGGCTGAAAACAGCTGCAAGAGAAAGGGCCATCTCCACGTTTTATCAGGAGCGGGTTCGTTTTTTGCTGGTGTGATGCAATTGGAATTTTTAAATAACTCACACCTCATTCTATCAGCGTCCGTATGCTTCACGCTCATTACGAATGTACTAGAAAAGGAACGGCAACAATGTTTTTATTACTGGGAAAGATTGCGCTGTTCACAGAAATCTGGAAGCTGCTCCTAATCCCTCTCATTTTTTTCCCCCTGAATTTGTAATGTAAGCGGCAGATAACCTGGTACCTGGAAGAACCATTTCATCAACAACCATCACAGGAGAACTCCCATCAGGCTCTGTCATTGTGAGCCCTGATGAAGGCGGACCCTGCGAGGCCCCG